TACAAGTTTCTCCTGGTAGACTCACGGGTTGAAACTCAGTCTTGTCATTCATTAACTCTGTCCTTAAGTAAGTCAACTTCACTTCTGTCCCTTAGTTTCCTTATCCATAGAAAGGGGATAAAATCACTCCCCAGCTCATAGGGTTTTTTGAGGATTTAATGAGCAAATACATCTAAATGTGCTTATAATAATAGCTAACATTTAGTAAGAATTTGATAAGTATTAGCTTATAGCAATTTAACAGTGGTTCAGAAAGAGTCGCCGTTTTCTTCACATGGTCACTATTGCCCAATCTAATTTTCCTGCTTTTTTAGCCTTTCTACACATACTTGACAGGTCCTTGGTAAATCTTTCTAAAATTGGAGATGCCCAACCAATAGAGTGGAATTGAAAATATCTGAACTAACAACTAGTACTGGCTAGGATGTACTCCCTTGGACGCAAACCAGTATCACATCAGATAAAACTGTGGGTCTGTGGCATTGTGTTGTATTCATTGTTTTGCATTTTTGAGGTTGTCCCTCAAATGGTGAGATCTGAGGCCTCTGGAGTTCAGCTGGAAAAGCTGTATTCCTGGGCTGTAACCATAGCACTTAACTTCTGCTGCCTGCCTACCTGAGAACAGGCTGATTGGGATTCTGACAGGGATTGCATTGACTCTATTGGTCAATTTGGGCACAGTTGTCATTTTAAGGTTGTCTTCTCATCCATGATTAAAAATGTATTGAGATTTATAATCTAGCATATGGGTCATCCTGGAGAATATTCCATGTGCACTTGGGAAGAATCTGTATTCCCCTCTTGTTGGATGGAGTACTCTATAGATGTCATTTANCTGCTGCCTGTCTCCTCGAGGCCCAGGGACTGGAGCGCCAAGCTCCTTGCTCCCTCGGCTGCGGTGGGACCGGGCAGCTGCGCAGCCTCCGCCGCACCGGGCCGTAGCGGCCCCACGGAGCATGTCCGAGGAGAGAGACATGGAGAAAGCCATCAAGGTAAGGGGGAGATGCCTCCTTCCTCCTCGCTTTGTCCCTGTGGCGTTCCTCTCGGCTCCAGCCGAGAAAGCGGAGAGAACTTGGAGCGAGAGATTCCAGGGACTCCCGTGTTTTGGTCTTCCCCGGATCCCGTGGACTGCGTTTTACTGCCCTCGGGCGAAGGGTTTGTATTATAGGGAGGGATGTCCGACTTCGCCGAGTAACCTGATTGAAGCGGAGATGTGATTTGTGCTCAGCTAGAACGGAAGGTGAGTGGCGTGGAGATACTAGATGTGAGTGGGACGCAGGGGCCCTACTACTCTACTTTGGATCACTCCCCAAGTGCATCATCATATATTTCCGGATGATCTACTGCAACAGCACTTGGAGAGTTGGACTTCACCCATCCTTCCTATTTGTTTGAGACCAGCCTCCTGGAAATTTGCAGTTTCCGAAGAAGGTGGTTCGCCTTCTTACAAAACCTGTCTTTTGGCGAATAGATTGTTCTCCCTTTCCGTGTGTCCCTCTCCCCATTTCTATTTTCCTCTCCCCTTGCCTCCTAGGGAGCATTGAATTTATTTAGGAAGAGCTAACAGTGTCCTGTGACTTACTGCTCTGTTAACTGAAAGAAAAGTAAATATGTGTTATCAAATGACCCAAATAAAATGACAAGTTTTCTGAAACCTCACTTTTACTCCTTTTTTTTTTTTTAAACAGGTAAACTTTGAGGCACTGAGGCACTAAAGAGAAAGTTACCATGTAGCTGTAGCTAGGAAATTAGAGTCTTATATAAATTGAACATGAAGCTTGAAGTTTGATAGGCATTATTTACTCTTTTACAGTGTTAAGTCAACTCAGTGCATTTAAGAATTTCATTTTCTCTTGAGGGACAGGCATCCATTGGCAACTCAGGGTTATTTCCCCCTTCAAGACACAACCACTGTTACCACTAACTAAGTACTTA